TAAATGTCACACCTGAACGCTCACATCCTTTTAATTATGTTTGAAATTATGAACATTGCTCAACATCATGAAAATTAAACCTTATTTTCAATAAGCAATCCTGAAAAATATTTGGGGGTGCTTAACTTTTTTCCAGGTGTATATATACATATATTGAAAACAATTTATTTACAACATCACAAGTGATATAGACATAATCAAATTAAATATACACAAGAATCTCATAAATATTTACACAAGATTTATAAACATAGCTATAATGGAAAGAGTATTGGAAAAAAAATTAAAAATACATGTATATTCACCCAAAGTACAGTATGTACAATACACGAATAGAAATACCGAACACAAAATATCATGCACATCCACCGTAATAAGGCAACAAAAATCACTTCTTAAAAAAATCAGTCAATTTAGCCTGTCTCAATGTCTTTAAGCTTCACACGGTTTGGATATTGGCATTCCCTCTGCTCTTTATTGCATAAATCACACATACAAGGCTTTATCGAAGTCCGTATTTTGGGCTGGTCGTGCCTTCTTTCATGTCTGTTTTTCTTAGAAGTACACAACTATTCTCATCTCACTTAGCTAATTCTTTTTCCATATATTTATAGGTTTTGTGTTGGATTTTGGACTAAACAAAACATGCATCATAAATAATAACTTCTTTGCAAATTGTTGTGAATGAGGCATCATCAAGCATTCCTTTTTCCTTGAGTTCCATGATTATACATAGATCCCGAGGGGCCAATGCTGCTAGTAGGCCTACTAAAATGTTTAAGAGCCAAGAGCTGTCCTAATTATATCCAAACCTGCAGTATAATAGACCACTATATAACGAGACTCAAGTGTATACTGCAGGTCACCCCACATATCTAACTATGATACATCACAATATACAAGTGGACCAATGGTACCTTTATTACAAGTCCATATCACATAGTACTGACAAAAAAAAAAAAAAACCTACTCCCACATCTCACATGTGGCCTGTAGAGACTGATAATTGAGTATTTGTGTATATAACATAATACCCTCCTCCCACAGCAGGCATGGGGCCCACAGAGACTAACAGTAGAGTTGAGGTGAACACATTGTATGCACCAGTGATGTATCACTCACATCTGCTATTCCTACAGCAGGCAAGATGCCCATAGTGACTGATGGTCAAGTGGAGGTTTATAGAAGTATCCATACAAACATGATTCCATACAGTGCACTCCTACAACAGCTGGCATGGGCTCATAGATCCTGACAGTAGAGGAGGTGAGCACAGATACTTATCACAAGTGCCCTTCTCTCACTTACTGGTTTTGACCCATTCAAGTCTGATGGTAGAGAAGGTGAGCACAAAGTATGGTTTAAACAAGCCACAAACTTCCTACACATACTGACAGTCAGATAGCTTGTGTACAAATTCTCAGACAGCCACATACCTTTTCTGCCTTTCTATTCTCCTACATGGATGAGATGTGGTCTCCCATGGGTGTGCCCTTGGGATAAGGTATTGAACCCCATGGGCTTCCTTTGGGTGCTTTCTGAATGGAACTCATCGAAGGAATTTCTGCATCAGTCCCTCCACTATCTCAATATAGGATGCTAGCTATCTATATATGGAGGTGAGTATTTGTTTCGGAAGTTAATATTTTCCTTACCTGGAAATGTATTTCCAACAGATACTCATCTCTTCACACATTCTCACTCATCCCCACATTTCTGGTGCACATTTATGCATTCCTTCATCAATGAATGAGGATTCACAAGCATGAAAGTAAAGGGAGTTATTGTGTATGGAGGTGTGTTGCACTTCTATTGGTGGATGGTTCTGCTGCATGATGACTTCATCATAAAATGACACAAATTCATGTGTTTCACGTGAGATTAGGTGGGAGTTTTCATAAGGCTGTTAGCTTGCAAATCTCTTTGGCAGAATGTGGGAACTCAAGAAAAAAGAAGTTTTCTTGTAAGATAGTGAGTTTCTATAGGATATACATTTTAGGATGTTCTCAAGGTTATTCAAATGAAATGTGAAAACTATAAGTTGAAAAAAGTAATATTAATATTAGCATGAAAATCACCTTGCATTCAGATTAGTCACTCTGCTTTCATAAATTCAAAAACACATCTTTTGTTAAAATTCTTATTTAAAAAATCATATTTTTTGTGTACAAAAAACTTCTAATGCTTACCAAAAGATTATCACATTAAAAGTTATAATATGTATCGTTTCATGGTTACAAGATGGCTGCTAGGTTGGTCAAAATGACCAAACCCATACAAAGAGGGTTAATTAAGTTTCATTGCAATTGAAGTAGATTGCAATTTAGTCTGCAGTTCAAAAAAAATTCTAAGAAATGCATAACTCATTATAAAATTGTGAAAGTGGCAAAAATCATAAATTTTACAATTAAATCATAAAAGCTGTGAAGTAAGAGGAATGTACATCTATAACAAAACTATTTTATTTGAATCAAAGTTGCACAAATACATGCTTAAGTCATTGATAATATCCAGTAATGAAAAATAAAATAAAATAATGGTAAATAAAACACACAAATTCCATTCCTGACTGTATGTAATGCAATCTGGCATAAAATAAGATACAACTAAATATTAAGGATGCCCGATACTATCCACATTTGCAATTACTTTAACTAAAAGTATATTTCTGTCATGAAGTTATTAATCCAAACAATGCTGTCTCAGTGATTTAAGAGTCACTTTTTGTAATACGTCTGAAAATTACTTCACTTTTTTTCCACTGACAAAAATAATTATCACAAATATTAATTAATGTATGAGCTTCATATCAACATCTTTTATTTCAGACATTTTAATTTTCAATATGAAAGATAACCTACCAAAATGTTCAAATTATTTTAAATTGTAACTTTTGTTGAATTAATTTTAATGATTTGTCTTAAACATTGAGTTAAGTCATTCTTCTGTTCACTCAGTGATAACATGATAATGCCAGCACCTTGTTTTTACAATTTATGCATCATATATTATTAATGTAGTTATAAATTATTACTGGAGAATTTATAAATATTAATTATAAAACCCATTGTATTCATCAACTGCTGTATCCAGTGTGATCAAAATGAACTAATGCTTATTTAACTTTTCAACACAAATTTTGTAACATTTTAAACACCCAATGATTGAATACTCAAATAGATCTTGATGGGTTTAGTGAGCTACTCAATAAATTCTACTGAGCTCAAACAATCAACAGTGAACTACTCAACAACATTTGTTGGATACTCTGGCATAATAAGATTTGTTGGGTAGTTCACTGTTGATTGTTTATTTATTTCTAAAACATAGTATTAAATAAAGACGAAGGTCCAGCCAGTCAGACTGTTAATGGGTGGCACAATCTTTTATAGTAGTAGAATAGTGTAATACACAGAGTGGATGTAAATAAGTTTTGCATGACATATCTGTAAGTTATAAATTGGAGTACTCTGTATTTCCAATTACATACCTGAAGAGAACAGGAAACTGTTGAAACATGCAGTGGTTTTAGTGAGAACAGTGTATCGATCTCAGTAAAGGGTTTTTCATTTTGTAAAGTCAAATGTTGTCTGCATTATTTATTGATTTTAAATATTATCCATTCTTCAGATTCCTTTTAAAGCAGTTTTAAAAATCAAAATTCCTTCTAAAGCATGCTATTCATGGTTCAATATCCTTCTCAAGCATTCTATTCATAGCTCAAAATCCTTCTAAAGCACATTTTTTTAAAGCATGCTTTTTTTACAGCAAAGAATTATTTCACAACATATAAATCTAACTTTATTGGATTTTACTGTTTTCAAAAGTGACAAGAAATTTAAGAAACATTTTTACACTTCATAAATTTGAAAAAATTATGAATCATGAAGTCAGGACCTTACAAAATAATAATCACAATTAAATATTTACAAAAGAAAAAGTATAATATATGACTACAAAATCAAAACTATAAAATTACAAGTAAAACTTTTTATATAAGAGAAATATGTGTAATTTTGGCATGTTTCATTACATGGAACATTTATAAAATTTATAGAAATGGGTTTGAATTTGTTTGAAATGATTACAGTAAAATATTTTTAGTATTAAGTTCAATACCTGAAGCTCTTCAATTTTTGTGACATAATATTGCTTCAGTCCTTCTCCCTTGGAAACATCATCTACTTCCATCTATATAACAAACATAAAACTGTGTCTTATAAGGTGCTATGTTATGGGTACTTGACACTAAAGCTGTAACAAATATGCCAAGTGTCAAATATGATTCGTGTCATGGATATGAGGCCAAGAATATGAAAATTTGTTCATGAACACAAAACTGTAAATTGTAACTTTTAAATTTTGCCAGGGGCTCTACAAAGCACATAACTTCCTTTTTTTTCATAATTAATGCATAATGCAACATATGAATCTTCTTGATACAAAAAACATGCAATTTTCAGACATTGTTTCAAATGGCTTTGTAGCAAGGAAAATGTTATCTCAAATAATTCAATACCCTTGATCACATATTGGCAGAATATAACAACTGGATTATTCAGGTTAGAGAAATATACTGAATTATAAACATAACATGGCTGATATGTGTTATGGAATTGTATCACAAATAGCAGTATCAAGTATAGGTATGATGAAAAGTTGTGTCTAAAATTGTATAGTGCTAAGCTAACCAGTATTAATCGCTGTTAAATACTTTCATAAAAGCTTGTCTTGTGTTACAGTAAAGCAGTATATTCATACTGTGGTAAAAAAGTTATGCTTTCAGTTGAAGATATCAAAGCCATTTAGCAGTTTCTTACTGTTTCTACACATATTGAAAGTAGTAAATGTGCTTCAACATTTGGTTCAAATGATCACAAATAAAAATATTATTTGAATTGCAGTCATTTTCATGTCATCAAATACATGCACAAATTGTTACACTTTGACTTGACATTGTTTAATAAGATGCTGTGTCATGGGTAATTACCACTATGAAACACCAGAGAATGTACAATATTTATTTACCACATTACAAGACAGTCTGTATAAACAGCAATAAATTGTTCTTTTCTGTGGGCCAAGTAAGGTCATCAGTACCATTTTGTAGGAAAATTGTTCAATGTTTTTTGTGAAGGTTAACATAATAGGATCACTATAATATATGATAGACTGTAATACAACACAGTGTTCTCTAGAAAATGCCATTTTCTTGAACACACCCCTTGGCCTTTTTATACTAAAATGCACCAAGTAAGAAAATTTGGAAAATTTGCATGTTTAGCCAGTTTATGTATATATATATGTGAGCCACTTACTACTATTTTTTGTCAGTCCTTGAATAGTGGGCAGGTATCAGATGATTGGAAGTTAGCTAATGTAACTCCTCTTTTCAAAGAAGGTGATAAAAATTGCCCCAGTAATTGTAGACGCATTAGTCTTACATCAGTTGTGGGAAAAGTTTTGGAAGGTCCAATAAAACATGCATTCCTAAGTCATTTAACTCTTTTGAGACGGGTGAAAGGCCATGTTGACCCGCATTCAAAATTTTATTGAACTACCATTTCATGAATTTATTCCCATAAGTTTGGTATCAAACTATAGATTATAATTAAGTAAATATTAAAAAACACAGATAAACATTGATTTTTGTGTGTCATGTGACATGTTGAATGCAGC